CGCACCCCACTGAACCCCGAGCCAATGCTTCAGAGGCTCCAAGGGAGGCCTTTGCCCAGTGGGAGAGGAAACATCTTATGTTGGTGTCAATGGCGGTTTTGTATGCATTAGAGGGTGATGTGATGCATGGGTATGTGAGACTCTTGGGACTCCATGCGAGATACATGAAAGCATGGAGCACGACTTTGGTACATCCTCTTTTACACTAAGATCCCTTGCCATGAAGGAATTTTCTATTCTCTGGTTCCGAGAGGGAAGCAAAGCACGTGCAAACGTTTGAGCATCATGGTTTGCGAGATGGAAAATTTCAAACTTCGAGTGGAGGAGAATATTCAAGTGGTGAATCTGACTCATGGGATGCATTTCTAGGATCTCTCTCAGCCTGTGGGACTGAACTACAATATGATGAACTCATCAACATTCTCGAGGTGGATGACGAAAGGTGGAGCACGATGGGAGGACATATCCGAGCAATGCCATGTACATGATATGTAATTACGTTGACTCGCAAAATTCCCAGTCTAAGAGGAAGAAATGCTCTTAGAAAAATAAGAACAATCAGAAGAAACCCAATGTAGACAATAAAACTGATGGTAAACCTTCCAACCCAGGAAATAAGAAAAGGATCATAATAAAACCAAGTGTTTTAAATATGGAAAATTAGGGCACATTAAGAGGTATTGACACTTTGATGGAGCTAATGAGAATACCTACGATAAGAACTAGGAGTTCACTTGTCTATGCTTCCAATCCATGGGAGGCACAAAGGGCATAACTTGTTTAGATTCTGGGTCCACAACCCATGTGGCAAACCAGGAGGGTATCGCTTGTTCAAACCTATAGCACTAGATGAGCTACACATGTATATGGGAGATAGCCAAAAGATTGCTGTGCTTGGGGTAGGAGACTATGTTCTTAATCTTCCTTATGCACGTCTTTGGTGCTCAACGGTACCTTGTATGCTCCTGAGATGACAAAGAATATTTCGTAAGTCATTAAAAGCTAGTTTTATTACAATATTTCTGGGTTAGAAAGTTGAAGTCTGGTTTGATTCTCTTGAGTGGTAATCTATTTATGTTTGGATCATTTTGAATAATGGATTATATGAGGTTTCTTTGAATGCGATCAAAACCTGTGGTATAAGAGGCTCGGGCACATGAGTGCAAAGTGTATGAAGAGATTAATGAGGTGGCATTTGGAAAAATGTCAAAAGGAAATCTGTCAAAAATGTGTGACTCGTCCATGCAAGGCAAATTCAGTTAGAATCCGTTTTCGAAAGCTACGAGAGCCGTTGGCATTTTTGATGTTGTCCACTCTGACATTTGTAGACCTATGAATGTGGCTGCACGATGTTAGAAGATATACTACATCTTTTTTATAGATGACCATTTGCATTTTGTAAATCAGGGAGTTACATGGGCTTCAAAGAAAGGTGCTCAATGCGGTTTTGGTGAAAATTTTATAAATATACTCCCCATAGCACCTGGTTATAGGATCTCACAAAATTCATGTTGATTTTATGTATGTTTTACAATTTTGTTTTATATTCCCAAATAGTGGGGAATGGCTATGATGATGATTATGATTTTTTATATTCCCAAGTTCAATTTTCTATATTGTATATACGTTTTATAGTTCCCTTTTTATGAATATTTACAATGTTTCCCAATCTTACAGTTTTTTTTTTTTGGGCCAACTAAGGGCAGACTCGGCTTGTCAACTTGATAGTTGCCGACTCCAGTTGGACCAGTTAGGCAGTGAGTTCAGCCTCTGAGCCAATTTTGCTGACACTGGTTTTACATGAAATACTAGAATGATACATCACACTTGTAAATATTCTTTTTTATAATATAGGATGTGATAAATTGTTCTAAATTGTTATGCTTATAATATTAGTTATTTATTTGCTTATTTATTCTCCTCTGGCTAATCAAATTGACAACCAGAAAAGTTTGTACTGGGATGGACACCTCTCTGGTGAACTGTGTTGGAACATTAAATTTTCTAATCTCCCAACAATTATTCACATCCTTTTTCATCTTTAGACCATTGACCAGTTTACAGAAACGCGACAGTCCCTGATTCACACAACGAAAATTGAATGAACTCACCGGTTATGAAGAACTCGATCAGAAGCCAAGTGAGCTCTTCATTTCTGGTTAAAATAATTTGTGTCAGTGTACAGAAACTCGAACCAGTGGACAGAAACTGGAACCAGTGGACAGAAACTGGAACTCTAGACTATTAACCATTGCACAAAAACTCGAACTCAGTCCCCGCTTCACACAACAAAAAGCGAGTCGCCTCTCCGAATTATGAAGAACTGATATGTTCTGTGAGCTTTTCAGTTCTGGTAGATATATTTTGTGCCACCACCGAGATCCAAAGTGAGCTACAAAGAGTAAAGTGCATAATAGCACAAAACCTCAAGGTATTTGCATGTCGGTATATTTCATGGTAGAAACTTGTTAATGTGCCAAACCAAGTTGACTCGGATGAGCCAACTTGACTTCTTGAATTTTGAACACTGTTTTTGAACAAATGTACATGGGGACGACTGCTGAGAAACAAGTTTCTGAGAATGGAAGCTTGTGATAGCTCGTGTTTAGTTGCTTCATTGTCCATAAACTTCATGAATAACTGCCACCAAATTTATCCATGATCTTGCAATCTCTGTAGGCAATTTCTCTGAATCATTATGAACACCCCAACCACTTGCCCATATGTGGTTGTTTTTGGGTGGGCGGAGGGGAAAGGTGACTGATTCCATGTCCCTTGCACCAATATTAAAGTATGTTTGAGTTATTTTTGTGTGCTTGTCTTGCCATGTATTCATATTTGTCCACATGAGCCTAACTTGGAAAGATATTGACCCTCTGGGCCATTCTTGATGTTAGCTATTATCATAAACTGAACCTTTGTAATTACATACATATAATTATCCTTATTTATGTTGGAAATTAATCTGGTTGAGAAGTGTATACCCTGAAGCAAAACGCATCCAACAGTTGGGTTGTACTGAACAGTTGTGATTGGAATTGTTAGTTTAAGCTGAATCTCATGCACTTGTTTCAAATTATGTTGTTTATTGAGTGGTGGGATTTGTAGCTAGTGGTGGGTAAATTGGGTTTTGGTTTAATGTTAGGAGTAGAGGAGAGTGGCGTTGAGTTTTAAGGTTGTCAATGAGTCAATATTGTGAGATTCCAATATTGATGTGTTTCAAAGTATTCCATGTAGCAATGTTTTAGGCTTCTAGGTTAATGATTTCCAATGTAGTAAGAGTCAAAAGTTTTATGGTTATCGAGGTCATGGTTGGTGGTTGGTGGGTGCCAACTCATAGGAACTTGGATGCATGGGAAATTTGCATGCATGGGAAGTTGGTGTGTCAGGGTAGTTTAGGCATTTTTCTTTTCTCAAGAGGGTCAAATCTAGTCATTTCGAAATAGGGTTAGCATTGGAGAGTCCTATAAATGCTTCTCTATGCTATACATGAAAGTTAGGTGATGACATTTTGGTAAATGAAATTGGAAATTCCCTCCTACATTGGTGCAGAAGAGAGTACTCCCTACTTGATATAGAGGTACAACCCTACTTGATTAGTAGCATGGTTAGGGATGGAAAGGCCTATGTTCCTTTCCCTCTCTTGACTGTGATTAAGGGAGCTCGAAGACTGTACAGTATGTAGTAGTCTGATGAGGCTCAGATGCCTCTTCCCCCTTTAACCTCCTTTGATGGTGATCTAAGAAGCGGAGGTGGTTTCCCTCAAATGGTTTGATCTATTAGTCCTTTGAGCAATCAACGAGTTTTAGTTGTTGCTGAACCGGTCTTGAAACTTCCCGGTCCATGTCTCGCTTTCTCTTTGAAAAAAGTCTCAACATCGACCTAATGGAAGGTGCTCCACACATGCCAAAATGTTAAATGGCAGGTTTCTCCTTAGTGGCCAGTGTCTCAAATCATACAACATTTGCTAGCTCATTTATTATTTGATCCCATAATAACATGATTGGGTATTTATTCCAGGCAATGGATGAGTAAGAAGAAAGGGTAATGCAGAGGAACTTTTTACAATTAAGATTTACTGTTTTGAGTAATTTGAAGTGATGACCCAGAGTGGCCAGGTATGGATGTGCAAAACTAGCTGTTCATCTTAATAATTATATAGTTAGATTCATTGAGATAAAAGTGTAGCAAAATTTTATCTGTATAATTTAAATTTAGGCTCTTGTAGTACTTTGCTCTGCTTTGCTAATATGCTCTGGCTGTTGTTCTGTGCCTTGAAGTTGAGGAATTATTTTTGCCCCCCTCTGACATGATTGCGTTGATAGTCTGCCCAAACAACGTACAACATACTTCAACTTTAGTCATGTGATTGTGAAGATTGGAAATTACAGGCATGGATCTCCTAAACAAAACATTGTAGCAATACATCATTAAAGGCCCTAGTTAGGAGCAAAATAGAGAAGATGGAGGACAGCATTGTGAGCAAGGCTTTAATTTAAATATAAGTGGTGTGCCTGAAGATACATATCTATCAATGGGCCTGTCTCAGAAATTGTATCTTGCCTGCATTGTGCCTCCATAGTCTGAATGTTTTTAAATTTTGGAGAAAACCTGAAGCGCACAGATAGTTGCAAGGATTCTTAACTGAAGGCTGGTCTTAATGAAATTGTATCAAGTTTCTATTTCTGTTCTTTGCAGTCTTCCTTTGAATTAAAATTCAGAAAAGGAAAATGGAAGAGCCTCTAAGATTTACTTTTTTCGGTCCAAATTTGGTTGAATTTAACAATAATAAGAAACAGGAGAATGTAACATGGTCACCTGAAACACCTCTTATAATGTGCCTAACTACAGAACTCCCAGAGATATTGCAGCCCTCTCGTTACTAAAAAATTAGGATACCCATCATTATTGCATATGGGACATCCCTACAATATGAACATGTTCATAAGCTAAGGAAGAGCCAATTACAACAATCATATTAAAATCAACTGATGGATCAGGTACCAAAACCGGCTACAGAAGAACCTTATGTATCTGGCAGCCATTGCTGATGCTCAACCTCAATCACCGCCAGTGCATCCTCAGGTCAGTCAGAGTCCCTTAACCTGACACCTTTGATTTTGATTAGAAACATTCTCATTACAAATTACGAGGAATCATTTCATAGATCCAGTTCTACGTCTTTGATCTGTGGATGGATGGTGATGGTTAGAGAGTTGACCTGCAACTATGCTCATATCACGTTCTGGTTGGATCCCACTCCAACACCGTCCATCCATCGATTGGATGGTATTATACTGGCGTCTGCCATAGTTTAGGTAGAGCAGTGCAGATTCTAATTGATCTTTCTTCAATTAATCATTTGCCAGCTTCATGACCATTGTTTTATGCCAGATGCCTCCACATGCCACAATGCAACCCAGCGGGCCTTACATACAGCATCAGCAGACAGGTCAACAACCCATTTTCACACCTAAGGTTCCAATCCAATTCACCCCACAACAGATGCAAGAGCAACAACTCCACCACCAACTTCAACAACAGCTACACAGCCGACATCCACAAATGGTCCAAGGTCCCTTGAGTATGAGGCCAGTGGTCACCAATGGTATGCAAATGATGCATGGGGAGACCATGCTTGTGGCTAACAACAACCAGCAACCAGGCATGGGGGGGTTCGCACAGGGTGGTGCATCAAGTGGCTCAATGGATGGTGCGCAGGTGAGCCGAGGGTTCATGAGAGATGTGCAGGGCAACAAGCAGGAAGTAGGTTCAGAGGCTGCAATTGAGGAAAACAATTGGAACTCAGGGTCAGGACACTGTGGCAAAGGAGCAGAAGAAGGCGCGAACTAAGTGCGATGGGTTTTCGTGCTGTCCCTCCCTTTCTCTTTGGAATGTAACTTGCAGACGATATGGTTTGTGGGGTCTTTGTGTTTATTTAGATGGCGAGAGCTGATGCAATTGAGGGTTTTTTTGGTCTTGTACCAGCTCGGCATGGAAAATGTGATGTGATCTTCTGGTTATATAGATCAACTAGGAAGAAATCTTGATGGTTTGTTTTGATGCGAATTCCATGGTATGTTTGAGTAGCTGCAATTACGACTGGTAGGGTCTTTGCTCTTATTCAAGTCTTTCTCGGATCCTCTTCGTGGACATTGGTTGGCTATTTCACACAATTATGAGGAGTTTTGAAGCAAATCAGGGATACCAATGACCGATTTGGTTCCCCAACTTCTACTTTTGAGAGAGAGAGAGTGAGAGAGAGAGAGACAAGCCAATTGCAGGGGAAGCGTGAAAAGTGCCTTGCACCTCCCTTCTACCAATTTGATGGATAAATTTGACCTCACTAAACCGACTTGAATTCACACCAGACACGACAACTGCCTTTTTCAATTTTAGTACCCAAAACAGGGTGTAGGACCTTGGACACGCCAAACACAATTAGTGTAAAATACAGAGGTTCTTATCCAAACCCAATTAATACCCGTTCTCAAAAGTCCGCTCCCCTTGGTGATTCCTCCTTAAAATAGTGTGATAATTTCACGGTCGTTTTCAGTAGGCAGCTGAATCTACCAAACGCACCATTGTATTAAATACCGTAAAAGTGGCTGGAAAGAAGAAAGGAGAGGAAAGAGGATCTCATCTTAAGAGGTGAAGAGAAGGAGAGATGAAGGAAGGTCACCCAAAGAAGTTGGTCATGTTTTCAGTCTGGGGGCTTCCTAGATTCGCTGCCTACTCCTTTATCCTCGCTCTGGTCTATGCTCTGGGTTTCATCACCAGCTTCACTGGAAAATCGAAATCCCCAGAAAACACAACTCAAGTCCCACCCCAATTTCTGGAATCTGATCTAGTCAGGTTTCGAACAAAGTGCTCAGATCCTGTCCCTTCAACACTAGTCAGGCAAACAATTCTTGACAAGGTCTACAATGGCTCATCGCCATACCATGGCTTCCCACCTTCTCACACACTAGGCCTACTTAAGCCTAAACGAATCAAGGGGTGGGGCTCTTATGGTGCTGTGTTCGAGAATTTGGTACGTAGGGTCAAGCCCCGAATCATAATCGAGGTGGGCACGTTCTTAGGTGCATCTGCCATACACATGGCTGATCTCTCTTGTGACCTCGGTCTCAAGACCCAAGTCATATGCATCGATGACTTCAGAGGGTGGCCTGGATTTAGAGAGAGATTCAAGGACATATCCATGGTTAATGGGGATGTGATGCTATTGCACCAATTCATGCAAAATGTGGTGTATCTTAACCTCACAGAGCAGATTTTGCCCCTGCCTTTCTCGACCAGCTCGGCACTCGTAAAGCTTTGTGAGTGGGGGGTTATGGGGGATCTAATCGAGGTCGATGCTGGCCATGATTTTCACTCCGCGTGGTCTGATATTAACATGGCTTATGCTTTGTTGAGGCCTGGTGGTGTGATCTTTGGCCATGACTACTTCACATCAGCAGATGATCGAGGGGTGAGGCGCGCCGTGGACCTGTTTGCAAGGCGTAAGGGTCTCTTTGTGGGGACTGACGGCCAGCACTGGGTTATCGGATGATGATTTTTTAGCATTTCTTGGCATAATTGTAAGGCACCCTGCTTAACCCTGCTTATCGACGCATATTGATTGATCGGACGATCCCTTCCGATCACTGTGAAAAAAATCTAGTCTAGGTAAGTATTTTCTGCAAGTTGATTGATGGGGATCCTCCTGTGCAATGGGGGAAGGGGGCCTACCTTACCAACCGTAAGAAGGAGAAAAAAAAGCTAGATACATCTCTCTGTTTCCAAGTAGGATTTTGTGTGTCCAAGTAGGATTTTCTCGAATACGAATGCTAAAAGTTTCACTCCTACAACTGAGCAACCAAAAGAAAGGTCGTGGAATCTTCCGATTGCCCGCAAATGCCATTGAGGGCCGGGCTGGGCTGAGTGGAGTGGCAGTCGCCCTCGGTATTTGGAGGTTGCAACTGATCACTTCAATTTTCTGTTTTTGTTGAACTACGCAATTTTGTACTTGTGGTGTAAAAGGAATAGGGTTCGATACTCAATAAAACATGGAGTTGATTTTGATGGTGTTTTCTGCGTATGTGATTCTTACACAAATGCCCGGGGCCCATGAGAGATGTATGTTTCATTTGGACCATCCATGTGGATGGTACAATATATGGGATGGACCCACCAGTACCAGTTGCAAGCTGCTTGATAGCATCATTTATCAAGATCCTCATAATTTCTAAAGTTTTGGATCCCACATTTGAGTGGACGTTCAATATCCTCCTACTTTCTATGGTTTTGGAACCCATACTTTTCTATTGATGAAAATTCGAAATGGGAGATAAAGTTTGATCCTTGAGCCCCTCATCTTGGATGCCATTAAAGCTTAGAAGGTCAAATTATGGATGATATAAAAAAAATATAAAAAGTAAAAAAAATAAAAAAATTTATGCCTTAGTCATCTAATGCATGTTTGGATGATAATGTCCTGTAAAGTCATTGATTGAAAGTAAAATGGTGAGGTTTGTATGAGGTGCCCACCTAATACTAGACAAGTAAGATGTGCCTCTAAATTTTACTAGAAGATGTACTTTTGGTGTTGAAAACCCTGCAATGGCTTAAAAATCCATGTTGAACAATAATTATAAAATTTAAAATTTTAAAAATAGTACAAATCAAAAAGATCTATAAACAATTAAAAATATCGAACAATTTGGAAATATCAACATGGATTTTCTGCAATGGCTTGAAAATCCATGTTGGAGTACGCATGCATGATGTAATCTCCATCTCTTTCTATTCTAGATGTAATTTCCATCTCTTTCTATTCTAGAATAGGTTTGAATGTTATCTCATCCTACTTGCCAAATTCATTTCTCTCCCCAATACTACCACTTCCTGGATCATTGCTTTAAATTACAAATCTTTACCCAATCAAACTTACTTACCCGAAAACAAATACCCATCCAAACCTAAATCTCTCTCTCTCTCTCTATCTCTATTGCGCTTCCGTATTTACTGCACTACATCTCTTTACTGCACTTCCATATTTATTGAGAGAGAGTGATACATGATGATCTGCGTCAAAAATAAGAATTTTGAAAATATAGATGAGATATTTTAGGAGGTGAGAGATAGAAAGTCGAAATAAAAAGATTCACATGAGAGAGAGACATGATCTATGTTTGTATGTGTGGGTGGCTATGGGGCTTCACATGTGACATAGTTTGCTCTCTTAAACTAATTAATATTTATCTTTCATGGCTATGGAGAGGCACATTGAGAAATCACAAAATTCTCAATTGTTCTGGTAAAAGCTGATCTCTATGATTCGTAATCTAACGGCATTGCTTTCGTTTCTTGGGATTTGGTTCAGTTAATCTCTTCCCCTTAAAAGTTCAAAATTGGTATCGGAGCAAGGTTGGCTAAGTTGTCACTTTTTTCTCCCTCTCACCATCTGTTGAGATCGACGCTCTCTCTCAGCACCTGTTGATATCGACTAATTGTTTTCTGTGGAGTTTTTCATTGTCAACAGTTTTGGTGCCGCTGCAATTTTTCATTGCTCTCTTCAATCCCATGAACCCTAAGTCATACGTTCCTTTATGTATTTGTAGTATTTGCTCAGTCGTTTAACTCTGTGATGACCTTAATTTTTCTAACACTGAAAAATAATAAAGTAATAATAATAATAATAACAATAACAATAACAACAATAATAACAATAACAATAACAACAATAATAACAATAATAGTAATAATAATAGAAAATTAAAACAAAGTACTTACATAAAGAAATGATTATGGTTCATTGCTGTTGTAATGCACCATGGGACCACTTTTTTACTACACCTTTCATTTCCACCGATTTTTTTAAGCGACATATTTAATTAAAATATTATGGTATAATGTGGTATCATGAGATAATGATATAAGATGAGGTGGCAATATAAGTGAATAAAAGGGGGTGCTGTGACATCATAAAATAATTTACAAAAAAATAAAAATAAGAAAGAAGGACACATGCCTTGACATGTGTCAAGTTGGGGAGTGTCCTCCCTCACTTTAAAAACATTCCTTCCCCCTCATAAGCAAATGCTGAAGCTCATCAAAGTTCCATCTCTCTCTCTCTC